TGATGTGTCCCTGCAGTATGATGTATCCCTGCAGTGTGATGTGTCCCTGCAGTATGATGTGTCCCTGCAGTGTGATGTGTCCCTGCAGTATGATGTGTCCCTGCAGTGTGATGTGTCCCTGCAGTATGATGTATCCCTGCAGTATGATGTGTCCCTGCAGTGTGATGTGTCCCTGCAGTGTGATGTGTCCTGTTTGTGCTCTGGGCGGCACTTGATGCGTGTCATATGAAACGCTGCCCCGCAATGTGGCAACAACACACATTTGGTTACGTTTTGCCAACACTTACAGGTGAAGAGAGGAGGAGCGCACACCAGGGTTGGAGAGGTGCTGACCATTGCCGAAAATATACAAATTTGAAAAAAGATGTCAGGCGCACACTCTAAGACTTGATGCAAAAATGTTTTCTTTTATTCAAGTACCAACGTTTCGACTAGACCGTCTTCATCAGGGTATTACAAGACACTGAGCTACCAAACATTTTATAAGACACACAGGTGAGCTCTATGATGAGAGGGAGTGTCTTCAATTACAGGCACATGCCATGGGAGGAGCCGACAATCAACACAAATTGCCACACAGATGAGACAGGAAAAAAGCACAAAATGATCAAAGCTCAATTTCCATTCAAGTATAATCTTAAAGACTAAAAAAAGGACAGAATATAGACAATTCAAAAGTACAATTCAAAAACACTTATATTCTTTTCAGTTATCAAAAAGTAGTAGACAATAAAAAGTATCATTATCTTAAACACAGCCAGATCAGGAAAAGAATAATGCATTTCAACACCACTTAAAATGGAAAAGAGCAGAGTACCCCTGTTTCTTGAAAAATGAATTCCTATAGGAGGGAGAGACTGCAAAACAATTGTTAGGACTTTGAAATAAGACATCTAAATATATGAAACATAATTGTAAATGATTAAGTAGAAAAATGTTAAATTTTGAATACAATTTAGGGCGTCCGTGGCTTAGTGGTAAAGCAGACGCCCCACATACAAGGCTGTTGCCGCAGCGGCCTGGGTTTGACTCCAGCCTGTGGCCCTTTGCTGCATGTCACTCCCTCTCTCTCTCCCCCTTTCACACTTGTCTGTCCTATCAATTAAAGGCCAAAATGACCCAAAAAAAAAAATCTTAAATAAATAAATAATAATAATAATTATAATATAATTTTAGAAAAAGAATTTTTAGGAAAAAAATAAATTTAGGAAAAATCTACTTACAATAGTAACGGTAGATAATTGAAATAAAAAAAAGTTAAATTTTAGGAATTTTGGAAAAATGTTTAAGGACTTAAAACAATCTAGGCTACATAAAAGGAAGTTAACGATAAAGGATTAGAAAATGCATCACAATGCCTATAAGACATAGGACAGTCTAGAGTCAAAGAAAAAGTTTAAGGTCAAACTCAACATTAAGGCCACTGGGAACAAGAGTATTTAATGTGTAGATCCAGAAAGCTTCTCTTTTCAACAAAAGAGTATTGAAATCACTCCCTCTTCTAGGAAGACATATTTTTTCAATCCCTATATAACGCAGAGCAGATATAGGATGTCCAGCCTCAATGAAGTGTGCTGCAACAGGATAGGTCATGTTTTTACATCTTAAGTGCACGCTTGGTTTTACCCACATAATATTTGCCACAAGGACAAGAAACAATAAAAATAACACCTTTTAATAGGGATCTTCTGACCTGAATGAGGGTGTTTGAAATCTCTATATTTATAAGTACTGTTGCATTGCGCACAGCCACCACATCTATAGTAACCATCTGTGACAAGAGCAAGAGTGCGTTGTGGCGAAATTTCTAGAGGAGGCAAGTCTGAATGGACTAGTGCATCTCTCAGGTTTCTACCTCTTGAGAAGACAACTCTAGCAGGATCATTAAAGACATTTGTTAGAAGAGGATCAGACTTTAAAATGTGCCAGTGTTTATGCAACATCGGTTTGAACCTTTCAGCACAACGGGAATAAATAGTGATAAATAGAGGAACTTCTTTTTTGTTTTTATTTCTAGCACCTTCAAACAGGTCAGCTCTAGAAATTTTATTTATTTTCTCAACAGCAGAGTCCAGTTGTAGCTCCTTGTAACCACGCTCTTTAAATTTACCTTTCATTATATCCATATTTTCAGAGAAATCAGAAGGATCTTTGCAAATGCGTTTCAACCTACAAAACTGACTATAGGGTAAACTGTTTTTCAAGGGAAGAGGGTGACAGCTGTCAGCTCTTAAGAGACTATTGCAATCAGTAGGTTTTGTATTTAAGTCAGTGTACAATGTGTTATTTCTCCGATTGATCCATGTGTCAAGAAAATTAATCTTCTCCAAATCAAACTGCATAGTAAACCTCAGATGTTCAGAGACAGAATTCAAAAAGTTGCAAAAAGACTGTAGCTGATTACTTGTTCCACTAAAGATGCAACATATGTCATTTTGTACACCAGAATGTTAGGCAGACAAGGATTATTATCACTATTTAGTATTCTCAGTCTTTACAAATACCCGACATAAAGACTGGCAAAGTTGCAGGACATGATGTGATGTGTTGTGACGATGATGAAGCTGCTCCAACTGTCAAGTCTGTGAACCCGATCTTTGAACTGTCTCTTGTTGGTGGTTTTGTGGTCAGTTTTAAAACATGTCTGTACAGTAACACAGTAAGACGAGCAGAGCGTTGGGAGGACTGGGAGGTTTGTTGTGGTGCAGACTGGAGGTTTGCAGACTGACGTCAGAGCTGTTTGTGTGGAAGAAGAATCTCTTTTTAAACAGATGAATTATAAATCTGGACTCAGTATTTATAACTGCAACAGTCGCTCCAGAGTCGTGGGTGGAAATGTGACGGTGTAAAAGTGGGATGTGAGTCTGGAGATGAGTCACAGTGAAGACAGACAGAATAACCTCAATGAAGCTTCAAGTTTTTAGTTTGTGTATTTTTACTGTGTTTCTTTCTGAGCTGTTGAACACAACTTATCTGTTTGTATAAAGATACATAAACACATGTTTCTGACCTGAAGAACTCCGAAACTTTTATTTGAAGTCACTTCTGAAGGTTTAATGAACAGCTGTGTCATGACCTTCACACCGGAACATCAGTGCCACACAGAGTTCGCTGATGTCGTGTCTGGGGAGGGCTGACGGAGGAAGTTTATAAACTTCATCATCAGAACAGATCTCATTTGTTTCCTGAGTGAAACTGAAGGAATAAAAGTTAATGTCTGTGTAACAGTGAGAGATCATGAACTCTAAATCATGTTTGGTTTGATTTTATTTCACTAAGACCGAAGCTGCTGCAGAGACTCGTTCTGTCAGAGTTTATTCACCTTTGATATGATGGTTCAAGATATTTCATCAGTTTGAGGTGAAGCTGGTTGAACAGCAACAGTTTGAAACACGTATCAGATCGATCCGGTCATTTCTCTGGAGAATATTCCCTGAAGGTTTGAGGAATTTTTCTGGAGTGTTTAGAAATGTTTCTGGTTTATATTGATCTAAAACAGCGCCCTCATCCTTTAACCCGCCCTGTGGACTCAGACTGATGTCTCTTCTCTGTTTTCCCGCAGACGGCTCAGACGGTCCTCCTGGTCATCACCGCCTTCACCATCTGCTGGATGCCTCACCACATCATCGCCATGTGGGTGGAGTTCGGCACCTTTCCCCTGAATGATGCCTCCTTCGCCTTTCGCATCGTCTCCCACTGCCTGTCTTATGGAAACTCCTGCGTCAACCCCATCCTCTACGCTTTCCTGTCTGAGAACTTCCGTAAGGCCTGCCACCAGGTCTTCGCCTGCCGCTTCCTGTACCCGCTGCCACCAGTGGGCAAGGTGGTTCGTTTCCGCATGGAGAACTTCTCCACCACACACTCCACCACCAACATATGAGGGACTGCGGGACGTCATCAGATACATGACCAGGACACTGAGGTGGAAACAGGAAGCAGAGCTGAGGCTGACGGTCAAATGATCACAGGACAGCAGGTGATTGGCTGCTGACTGTATCTATGGATGACCTGAACTCGTTTATGGGAGTTTATTAACGACAGACTGAGACACCGAACAGGAAACTGAAGGACACATTCAGAGAGGGACAAAATACAGACTTTAGAAATGTAGAAAAAAACTAAACTGTGTTTTCAGTTTTTCTTTTAAATTCAACAGTTTTAATAATTTAATTAAAATTAATCTTTGATAATAAAACAGTCTGAGATAAATGTAAAATTATATTCCAGTATTATATCAGGTTTTTTTCTTTATTTTGCCTAAAGAGCAGAATTTTTTCTGTCTGAGCAGAAACACAGAACCTGTGAGGAGTTTAACATGTGTTTGACTTTATATGTTTTATATGTTTAATATGATTTATTATATTTGATGTGTGTGTTATGTGTTTCAGAGACAAATGTTCCTCAGCACAACCTTTTTATTATCAGTGTGAATTCTTATTTTCTGGAGCATCTGAAGACAGTTTCTGATCCGTCCTGATGAACTTTGATAGTCTGAGTATATTTACAGATTTAATGTGAATGTGAAAGATCAAACCTGATAAATAGATGAATAAATATTAAATAAATGGTTGTCGGTTTAAGTATGTTTGATAGAAACAAAGAAAAAGTACAAATAGATGAGTTTTAAATGGACGCATTAAATTATTTTCTGTCAGCTCAGGATTTGTTTTATATGGAAATAAACTGTGGTGAGCATGGACTTTTGGCTTTTATTTTATGAACATTTCCGAGTCTACTTCCTGTGTGGGTTGTGTGCTGCTGTGTTTACCTGTCTCCAGAGGCTTCTCCCCTCCCCCGCCCTGCACTGAGGCTGAGAGCGCACACCTGAAAGACATCTGCAATCAACGGGCTTTAAGACTGCCACCGACTCTAGCCTCAGTGCCAGAGTATTTGCGACTGCATGCAGTGGTATCTCGGCTCCTCTGATCCTCCAGTGATTTGAGTAATCTTGCAAGTTTGATTGTGTTTTTTGCTCTTTGAGTGTTTAACCCTCGTTCTCCTACCTTTTTTTCCAGTGTCTCCCTCCGTGCCTCACAGCTTCCCACAGCCCAGCACTCTCACCTGGTTTTCTCACTCTGCACCTGGACTCCGGATCTCCTTTGTTCTCTGCATTATTCTGGCACAATAAAACTGTTAAACCTTTTCCCTCAGTCTGTCTGCATTTTGGGTCCATAACCTCGCTGCCACCACATAAACATCATTTATTTCCATTGATTTTATTCATTGATATTCCATAATGGGGGCTTCTCTGAATATTTAATGATTACATTCAGTCTTTTTTTCAGGGATGGAAACACTCACAGATTAACAGGAACAACAGATCTGAGGCTGATCTAACTTATTTAAAGTTTATTTTAAAGATTTACAGTTTGAATCAGTAACTCTGTGACCTGTTTTAATGAGCTGACTTTAGTTTGGTCATCACTCAGTGCTGTGATGACGTCTGAATCTTCACCTGTTACAGGATGAATCACAGCTGATGAATAAACCCTGACTTTGATCTGTCTGACTGTATTTCTCTGTGAGGTCACAGTATAAATGTCTTCGTGTCAAGAGCACAGCAGCAGAACAGGGACAGAGAGAAATGACATGTTCAAACAGTGTGATTCAGCTGACATTAGCTAACGTTAGCATGCTAACACTAGCTAACGATCAGTAAACACAGTCACAGAGCTGAAGCTGATGTGAACTGCAGGTCACAAACCAAAGTTCTGCTCACTGCCTGATTCAGACTGTTCTCACTAATGTTTCATATGTTTTCCTATGAAAATCAATTCACCCAAATTCATACATATGTCATGTATGTTGAAAGGCTGTGATCATGTGACCAATGAGCTGACGGCAGTAAACAGGAAGCAGTCCTGAGTGCCTGTAAGGAGGCAGGTTGGGATGGTGGATGGGACTTTCCCCTGGAGTCACGTGATCAGATCTGTGTGAGTCATGTTAAGGTTCGTCCTCACCATGTTTCTGTTCCTAAACCTAACCTCTGTAACTTTATGATAATTGTAACTGTAACTGCATGTTAAGGACGTGACATCATTCATGGGGCCCTTTATGTAGGATATCATACAAACTGTTCAAACTGAGAATATGTTGATTTACTGGCATGTTGTATGATTAAAAACTGTAAAGTGTTTTGATTCTTCGTGTGCTGACTGTGACGATGATCAGTAGGCCTACAGTAAATGATATCATATAGTCAGTAAAGTGAAGTCAGATTCAGATCTTTTATTTAAGGGTCACACACCAAAATATGCTCCGCCCACATGGGCTGCTGTGACACTACAACATATTGTAAACAAGAGTGATGACATCATGATACAAACTGTATGATGTGTACATTCATCAGACATGGAAACAGATCAGGGAGAGGAGCTTCTGACTGAGACACTTAACAAATGAACTGTTTCATTTCATTCATCCCACAGCTGTGCTCAGGTTTTATATCTGAACTGTGTTACAGACAGCTCCTGAAGTCGTCTCTGCAGAGTCTGATGAGGCTTTAAATCCTGATTCAAAGGTCAGAAGGTCGTTTGGAGTCAATCCTGATTATTTACAGTGCTCAGTACAGAACAGATAAGATTTAAACTTTGTCTGACTGTGTTCTTCCTGAAATCATCACCTGAGTTTTATCTTTAATCTCCATGTACGACACCAATGACTGACAGTGTTCAACATCCTCTGAGGATCATTTTCAGACTCTGTGAGGACGATGGTGTCGTCTGCGTATAGAAAAATATCAACTGTAAAAACTTTTAATCTGACACAAAACTCTGCTTCTGTTCTGAATCATTTACATTATTAATATGAATTATGAATGAATATTATATTATGATTATTTCATATTTCTTTGATGAGTGTTTCTCTTGTATGGACCTTGAGTCTGCATTAAAGTATATTTATAAAGATGGAAAATAGTACTGAAGAGAGCACATCTCCGTTTCACACCACATGGGGTTGAAAAGTCGTAGAATAGTGTAGCACAGTATAGTAAAGTGTAGTATTTATTGTCTGCAGTCAGTGTGTGGTGTAATGCAGACAGAGTAAACATGAGAGCACCACACATTAGGACCTGCTGGGACGTTCTGGTTGAAAGAATCTTCATCGTCTTGTTGAGATCAAGACATCTCAACAGTCGTATGGTGACACAGGAGACGTGTTAGAACATGAAAATACCTAATCAAATTATGATTTTAGTTAGTACTTGAAACTGATCCGTTTTTTTTGTTTTTGTTTTTTTTTTT